ATTTCATTTTAAAAAATTCGCTCGATTCGGTTCGGTTCGGTTCGGTTCGGACATTTTGTCCAATCCTACATACAACAGCCAAACCCAACGACTACCAACGTACATAGAATAGAACTATCAAGGTCGGCCTTAAAATTTTGGAGGCCTTTGGTCCAGCTTAAAAAATGGGGCCCCTATAAATTTTTTTTAAAAATGCTACAAAAATAAACTATTTATTAAATAAACATATTCAAAGTTCAAAAAATAATAAATTAAAACTTTCATGAGTCCACATCTCAAACTGATTTATTTTCTTCATCTAGTCAATTAGCCTTGCGTACTTATAGATAATTAGTTTTTGTTTTTTTTATAACCGTAAATGTCCGCGCGCGTCTCGACTAATCCCACGAGATCTTGAAATTTACGATCGGATTCTCATCTCAATAGCCCTGAGAGAATTCGAACTGATGATCATTGTGGAGCAAACTCAACTTATAGATAATTAGTTGCATCAAAAAAGATAAAATATCGAGTTATTATCCAACGAAAATTTTCAAATAAAGAAAATATGAAGAAATATCTGCAGACGAGATACTAATCTAGAAAATAGAGAGAGAAGTCAAAGCACCATTATAACAAAAATGAAATATAGATGTAACTATAGGAAAGTCTGACCAATTTTATAATTTCATACCAAAATTGAAAAACGCCAAACAAAATATACAAGAGGGCATAAAAATTAAAGAAAGAAAACATTTTTGTCTTATTATCAAAGACTATAAATGGAAGCTAGAGAAGAGATCATCGCGGTACAAGATCCGATTTCAATATGAGAAATCGAATATGAATATGATAATGATGGCAATGCTCGGTAGTGGCAAGAAAGATGTATGTTATGGTGGTGGTGGTGCCCGTGAGATGGTGAAATCAAAGATAAAAGTGGTGTAATAGTCAATGGTGATGGCAAATTGGTGGTGGCGGTCTGGCGGATGGGTGGGTTGGTGGATATAATGTTAAAAAATAAATAAATAAAAATTTTAAAAAAAGAGGTTATTTTTAACTCTTTAGAAGAAACAGATTTATGTGGCGTAATTAATCCTTGGATTAATTAAAAATTGCAATAAGCCAATGCCAACTACCTAAAAGCCCAGTACAGACCCTAGCCTAAATAGAATTAGGATTTTGAGAAGAATAATGTGTGGTGGAAAAGTGATGAAATTTTTTGATTTGTGTGTAATATTATTTTATTTGGAGAATGTGTGGTTGAAATGAAAAATGAAAATGAGAAATTAATGGGTGTCAAACGTGGGCTTAAACATCAAAAAACTGTAGTTGTAGTTCTTGACAAAAACCATAGTCGGCCTCGGCCTCATGTTAAAGATTACTCCTCTGAACACAGAGTTTAATTTTAAATGTAGAAACTATGGTATCAAAGTCTACAAGCTCAGATGAGTAATTTAATCTTCTTAATGCTCTGACGAGCTATTTTATATCAAGATTGGTGTGTCTCAAATAAGTCATCATCTAGAGAGATACAAATTAAAAGATATATGGGGTTGTTCGATAAAAAAAAAATTAGCTGAATTTTATATAAGTTGATGAAATGTGTAGTTAAAAAGTTGATAAAAATTGTGAACTTCATAAAATCTATTATTAAAATTAAAATTTCACCTATGAAAAGATTGTAAAATTTTATCAAACAAGCACTAATAATTTAAAATAGTGGAAATTACACAAAACCAGAATTTTAAAGAATCAATTTCAAAAATGATATTAAAAATTTCACTTTTCAAAAATCAGATATTTTATTTTTAAATATTAAATATTAATTGTACAATTTTCATCCAAACTCTAATCAATCTCATCCCAATTTTCTCTCTCTTCTCTCTGTCATTCCCTCTGCCTTCTTCTCTCCGCCGCTCTCTCTTCCTTCTCTTTATACAGATGTGACCTTAATATATTTAATTAATAAAATATATGTTTAATTTATTTATTTATAAATAAAATTTAAAAAACTCTGAAATTTGAAATTTGAAATATAATTCCTTAAATTTGAAATTGGTAAAACCAAACCTCTTAATTATGTAATCTTCC